CCCATCCACCTCTGTCCCCGGGGACCCAGGGTGACTGCATTCTTGTCTCGCTTTGCAAAACGGAATTTCAGGAGTAGACGGGCAGTGAAATACATAGATTTTATTTGGGGGGTTTTTTATGGTGTGGAAGGGGAGACTGTGTGTGTGTGTGTGTGTGTGTGTGTGCGTGCGTGCGTGTGTGTCTGTGTGTGTAAAGTGATCAAGACAGACCCCAGGCTTCTCCCAGGGCGGAGAGACCCCTACACACACACCCCCAGCATCACACAGGAATGCATGAAAGTCCCATCTCTGGAGGGGAGATGCAGGTGACACGTGTGCCCGGCCACGTGGGCACCAGCAGCACCCGGGCTCGGGCAGCCTCTGCGCCCTCCCTGGGTCCCAGGAGGCCTTGAGGGGGCGTCTCCCACCTGCCCCCACCGGGGGCTTCTCCCTAGATCACAGTTCATTGCTACGGGGGTTGCCAGGGGCGTTGGGAGTGCGGATGAGGGTCTTCTTGGAAACTCCTCCCTGGCCTTGGGTTCCTTGGGGGGCTTCTCTGGGACGGGGGTCCAGCCTGCCCTGGGTGTGTAGCTGCCGCCAGGCGAGGGTCTTACTAGGCTTTAGTGTCTGTGCCCCCAGCGCCCTGATGGCTGCAGGGCTGCTTGGTTTTATTACAGAAATCCCGTTGGCACGAGGACCCTTCTCTGTCTGTCTCGGGAACAAGGCTGCTGGGGCTGGAGCGAGAGCCCAGCGGGGAGGGCGTTGGCCCGGCACGCGGCCGACCCGGGTTCGATTCCCAGCATCCCCGAGGGTCCCCCGAGCACCGCCAGGACTCATTCCTGAGTGCAGAGCCAGGAGGAACCCCTGAGCATCGCTGCCTGTGGACCAGAACAAAAAGAAAACGAGTATGTTTTCGGATGAATTGTTTTCTTTCCTGTTTTCCTCTATTTTCTTTTTGGTCTTTTGGTGGTTTGGTTTTTTGGTGTCATACCTAGCGATGCTCAGGGCTGACTCCCGGCTCAGTGCTCAGGGCTGACTCCCGGCTCCGTGCTCAGGGCTGACTCCTGGCTCTGTGCTCAGGGCTGACTCCTGGCTCTATGCTCAGGGCTGACTCCCGGCTCTGTGCTCAGGGCTCACTCCCGGCTCTGTGCTCAGGGCTGACTCCCGGCTCTGTGCTCAGGGCTGACTCCCGGCTCTGTGCTCAGGGCTGACTCCCGGCTCTGTGCTCAGGGCTGACTCCTGGCTCTATGCTCAGGGCTGACTCCCGGCTCTGTGCTCAGGACTCACTCCCAGCTCTGTGCTCAGGCCTGACTCCCGGCTCCGTGCTCAGGGCTGGCTCCCGGCTCTGTGGTGAGTGCTGACTTCTGCCTCCGTGCTCAGGGCTGACTCCTGGGTCTGTGCTCAGGGCTCACTCCCGGCTCTGTGCTCAGGGATGACTCCTGGCTCTGTGCTCAGGGCTGACTCCCAGGCTGACTCCCGGCTCTGTGCTCACAGCTGACTCCCAGCTCTGTGCCCAGGGCTGACTCCTGGCTCTGTGCTCAGGGCTGGCTCCCGGCTCTGAGTTCAGGACTCACTATCAGCTTTGTGCTCAGGGCTGGCTACTGGTTCTGTGCTCAGGGCTGACTCCAGGCTCTGCGCTCACAACTGACTCCTGGCTCTGTGCTCAGGTCTGATTCCTGCCTCTGTGCTCAGGGCTGACTCCCAGCTCCGTACTCAGGGCTGGCTCCCGGCTCTGTGCTCACAACTGACTCCCGGCTCTGGGGTCAGGGCTGACTCCCGGCTCCGTGCTCAGGCCCGACTCCCAGCTCTGTGCTCAGGGCTGACTCCTGACTTTACACCCAGGCCTCAGCACCCTCCTTCCCCTCAAATCTCTCCGTCCCTCCTAGTCCCGCCTCGCCCGACAGCCCACCGAGGCCACAGCTGCCCTCAGCCGTCCCCACCAGACAGTGTACTTTCAGCCCCAGCGGTTCCGCATTGGGAATCTGAGCGCGGCAGCAAGCAGAGATGCAGAGAAACCAACGGGCTCCCGGGTCACACGGTTCCCTCTGAGACTCACGCCCGGCCCTCCCAGCTGCTCCTGCCCTCAGACACTCTCTGGGGTCAATTCAGACCAGCGGATACTTTTATTTCCCTTTTTTTAAAAAATTTTTTTTGTCTTCAAGCCAGACACTGAATTCGGTCATTCTCAGCATCACCTGAAATAACTTCACCCGAGTCACGAGTCTTGCCTCCGGCTCTGCCCGGGGACGCTCAGCGATTTTCACCGTCTTTTCCTTCCCAAATCTTTTTTTTTTGCTTTTTGGGTCCCACCCGGCGATGATCAGGGGTTCCTCCTGGCTCTGCACTCAGGAATGACTCCTGGCGGTGCTCAGGGGACCCTAGGGGATGCTGGGAATCGAACCCGGGTCGGCCGCGTGCAAGGCAAACGCCCTCCCCGCTGGGCTATCGCTCTGGCCCCTTGCAGACTTTTTAAAAAATCTCTATTATTATTATTATTATTTGGCTTTTTGGGTCCCACCCGGCGATGCTCAGGGGTTCCTCCTGGCTCTGCACTCAGGAATCACCCCTGGCGGTGCTCGGGGGACCCTAGGGGATGCTGGGAATCGAACCCGGGTCGGCTGCGTGCCAGGCCAACGCCCTCCCCACACTGGGCTATCGCTCCAGCCCCCAAATTCTGATTTTTAAAGCGGGCGTTTAAGAAAGGATGGGGGCTCTGTGAAATGCAGTGTCCTGGGGTCACCCCACGTGGTTAGCCCTTATCTTGGATTTATTTAAGTTTGGGGACAAACGTGGCAGTGCTCAGGGCTGGCTCCCGGCTCTGTGCTCGGGGCTGACTCCCAGCTCTGTGCTCAGGAATGACTCCCTGCTCTGGGCTCTAGGCTGACTCCTGGCTCTGTGCTCGGGCTGCCTCCTGGCTCTGTGCTTGGGGCTGACTCCCGGCTCTGTGCTCGGGCTGACTCCTGGCTCTGTGCTCAGGGCTGACTCCCGGCTCTGTGCTCAGAGCTCAGTCATGCCTCCGTGCTCAGGGCTGACTCCAAGCTGTGTTCAGGATTCACTTTGAGCTCTGTGCTCAGGGCTCAGTTCGGGCTCTGTGCTCAGGACTCACTCCAAGCTGTGCTCAGGGCTGACTCCTGGCTCTGTGTTCAGGGCTGACTCCCGGCTCTGTGCTCAAGGCTGACTCCCGGTTCTGTGCTCAGGGCTGACTCCCGGCTCTGTGCTTGGGGCTGACTCCCAGCTCTGTGCTCGGGCTGACTCCTGGCTCTGTGCTCAGGGCTGACTCCTGCTTCTGTGCTCAGGGCTGACTCCTGGCTCTGTGCTCAGGGCTGACTCCTGCTTCTGTGCTCAGGGCTGACTCCCGGCTCTGTGCTTGGGGCTGACTCCCGGCTCTGTGCTCAGGGCTGACTCCTGCTTCTGTGCTCAGGGTTGACTCCTGCTTCTGTGCTCAGGGCTGACTCCCGGCTCTGTGCTCAGGGCTGACTCCTGGCCGGCTTGGCCACCCAAACTCACTGTCAGGAATGAAACCCAGACTATCCGTGTGCCCAGCAAACACGTCTCTGAGCTCGTCTGCTCTGCCGTGCCCCAGACTCCAACCCCTGTGTCCCCATTGGCCCTTCAGTACCAGCCAATGACAATCAGATGCCGTTTCTGCCCCCGTGTGAGTACTGATGCCAGCCTCGTCCGAGCACCCCGGCTGTGTCCTCATGCAGACCCCCGACTCTTTGCCTAGACCCTCCTCAGCCACGCGGGAACGATAATCCAGAAAAAAAAAACCCACCAAAATAAAACCTGCAACCTTCAACCAGGCATGTGGAAAAAAAATCTAGAACTGCAGCTGGAGCGATAGCATAGCAGGGAGGGCGTTGGTTTTGCACGTGGCCAACCGGGTTCGATCCCCAGCATCCCATAGGGTCCCCTGAGCACCGCCAGGAGTCATTCCTGAGTGCATGACACAGGAGGAACCCCTGAGCATCCCCGGGTGGGACCCAAAAAGCAAAAAAAAAAAATAATGACACAGTGATCAAAAGAAATGACACAGTGATAACTGCAAACTGACAGGAAGGGGAAATTTTTATCACTCATATATTATTCTTAAAAAACTCCAGGACTGGAGCGATAGCCCAGTGGGGAGGGCATTGGCCTTGCATGCGGCCGACCCGGGTTCGATTCCCAGCATCCCCTAGGGTCCCCCGAGCACCGCCAGGAGTTGTTCCTGAGTGCAGAGCCTGGATTAACCCCTGAGCATTGCTGGGTGTGACCCAAAATTCAAAAAGACCATCAATGCAGCAATCAATGCGTCCCTCCACGGGGCTGGGCAGGGAGGGCCGTGTTGGGGTCCCCAAGTGTCCAGTTCCCTCCAGGCAGCAGAACCGGGTCCAAACTATAGAGCGGAAATGGCTTTGGGAACTAGTGACTCCCATATCCGGAAGGTTCTGAACTGAGGTAGTGACACGCCGCTGGGGGCGGGCGGGTGGAGGGTCTCGGTAACTTCCCCTCCTCCCCGCCCAGGTGGGCTGGGATGGAAGGATCCTCCGTGTGCAGCTTATTCCTCGCAGGAGGCGGTGAAGCTCGTGCCCAGCTGGGTCCGTGCAAAGGCCCAGTGGCCATCTGAGTCGGGGGCCGCAAACCGAGAAAAATTCAGTTCCAAACACCAGAGCATCTCAGAGGAGATGTTGTTCCCTGCTTTGCTCCGGGAGTTGGGACCAAGGCACGGTCAGACTCTCCCACTCGGGGGCTCCATCGCATCTCGGATGCAGTGACCGATTCGGTAGCACCCAGAAGAATGAGAGAGGCTAGAGCGAGAGCCCAGCGGGGAGGGCGTTGGCCTTGCACGTGGCCGACCCGGGTTCGATTCCTAGCATCCCCGAGGGTCCCCCGAGCACCGCCAGGAGAGATTCCTGGGTGCAGAACCGGGAGGGATCCCTGAGCATCGCCAGGTGGGACCCAAAAAGGAACACACACACACACACACACACACACAAGAAAAAAAACGCCCACCCTACAGTGCTCCATCCGGCCCCTGGCATTCTTGCTGTGTTTCTGTGAGGTACTAGAAAGGTCTGGAGCGAATGCACAGCGGGGAGGGTGTTGGCCTGGTATGCGGCCGACCCGGGTTCGATTCCTCCGCCCCTCTCGGAGAGCCTCCCGGCCAGCTCCCGAGAGGATCCCGCCCGCACGATGGCAGAGCCTGGCCAGCTCCCCGTGGCGTCTCTGCGATGCCAAACACAGTCACAACAAGTCTCGTCATGGAGATGTGACTGTGTCCACTCGAGCCAATCGATGAACAACGGGAGGACGGTGGAACTGTGCTACTAGAAAGATTCAACTTCCGGAAGGCACGACCACGGAGCACCATCGAGGCGTTGTCCCGGTGAGGGCCGGGAGGGCGGGACCCGGGCGGCGTGTCCCGTCCACCTACTGCAGGAATCGGTCCAGCTTCTCCTGGATGTGGGCGAAAGCGTCCCGGCCCATGTAGTCGATGTGGCCCTGTTCCCACTTCCTGCGCCCTTCCCCGGGGCTCGGGGGACGCGTCCTGTCCTCGATGGAGATCTCGGAGATGGACACGGTGAGCAGGACCTGCACACGGACACAGGCGGGGGCTCGGGGTGAGTCGCTGGGGACCGAGGACCTGGTCTCAGCCCGAACCCAGGCAACAAAACACACTTGGCTTTCAAGTCAGTGTTTGCAGAATTTTTTTTTTCTTTCTGCATCACACCCGGCGATGCTCAGGGGTTCCTCCTGGAACTGCACTCGGGAATCGCTCCTGGCGGTGCTCGGGGGACCCTAGGGGATGCTGGGAATCGAACCCGGGTCGGCCGCGTGCCAGACCAACGCCCTCCCTGCTGGGCTATTGCTGGAGCAACAGCAGAGTGGGGAGGGCATTTGCCTTGCACACGGCCGACCCGGGTTCGATTCCCAGCACCCCCTAGGGTCCCTCCGAGCACTGCCAGGAGTGATTCCTGAGTGCAGAGCCTGGAGTCAGCCCCGAGCATCATCGCCGGGCGTGACTCAAATCCCCCCAGTTCACACAACACAGGAAAAATCCTTGGGGAGCCGAGTGGACAGACCCTACTTGGCCCCCCAGTGGCCGCCTGCGTGCGTGTTGATTCCTCATCCACAGCTGATGCTCTGGGGTCACTGTGTCCGAGAGGAATCTCAGAAACATCTTCCGGATTCTTGGCTCGGAGGAGAGAGATGGGATGGAATGGACATCTCTTGACTTTCTGTCAAGAGCGTATCTTTTCTTTTCTTTTCTTTCTTTCTTTCTTTCTTTCTTTCTTTCTTTCTTCCTATCTTTCTCTTTCTTTCATTCTTCCTCTTCCTTCCTTCCTTCTTTCCTCTTTTCTTCCTTTCATTCTTCCCTTCCTTCACTTCCTCCTTCCTCCCTTCCTTTCTCTTTACTCTTCCTTTCTTTTTTCTCTTTCTTTCTTTCTTTCTTTCTTTTCTTTCTTTCCTCTCCTTCCTTCTTTCCTTCCTTCCTTTTCTTTCCTTCTTCCTTCCTTCTTTCCTTTCTCTTTTCTTCCTTTCATTCTTCCCTTCCGTCTTTACTTTGTCCTTCCTCCCTTCCTTCTTTACTTCCTTCCTTTCTCTTTACTCTTCCTTTCTTTTTTTCTTACTTTTCTTCCATCCTCTCCTCTCTTTCTTTCTCTCCTTCCTTCTTTCCTTCCCTTCTTTCTTTCTCCCTATTCTTTCTTTCATTTATTCTTCCTTCCTTCTTTCATTCTCTTTCCTTCTTCCTTCCTTTCTTCCTTCCTTCTTTCCTTTCTCTTTTCTTCCTTTCATTCTTCCCTTCCGTCTTTACTTTGTCCTTCCTCCCTTCCTTCTTTACTTCCTTCCTTTCTCTTTACTCTTCCTTTCTTTCTTTTTTCTTACTTTTCTTCCATCCTCTCCTCTCTTTCTTTCTCTCCTTCCTTCTTTCCTTCCCTTCTTTCTTTCTCCCTATTCTTTCTTTCATTTATTCTTCCTTCCTTCTTTCATTCTCTTTCCTTCTTCCTTCCTTTCTTCCTTCCTTCTTTCCTTTCTCTTTTC